CCCCAACTTTGAGTTGATTTAACGTAACTCATGGAGTATAAGTTTATTTGCGGTCGTCACCAATGTAAAGAAAAGGAACCACATGCGTTAGAGTGTTGTCAACTCAAGAAGGAGAATGTAAGTTTTTCATTGCACTGTTTTTATTTAATACTGCCTAAATATTTTCTGCCGTCAAATGTGGGAAAGCTTGTGTATGTCTAAGTTGAACTTTGTTATAGGACTCTAAGGAACAGAACAAGAAGCTAGCGGATGCTATATATACTATAGATGTTCTCTGGGTATGAGACACTAGTTAAAGATACAAAACTCAATTCACATTCACATTTTATATCTTATCATAGTCATACATACAAAATGCAAAAATTGACGACGTATCAATCGAGACATTTGCTAATTGGGTGGCAGAATACGCCACAACCCATGGTCTAAACAAGCAATACATAACTAATGGAAATTTACTACGTTGGTATAAAATTATACTTTGGAAATGGCAAAAAGAAGAGACGGTGAAGTATATCCGAGATAAAATTAATAAAGCAAACAAACTTACAAACTCAAAAAATGTCGCTAAGGATGCTTTGGTAAAACAGCTTGTTCATTTATTACTTTATTCTTTTCATTGCCTATGATTATATCCTTAATGAATATGCTGGGCCAGTGTCCACAAATGGACTCAAGGTTTACCCTTCATATTATTTGCTAGTAGACGTGCCTTTGATTCGCACTTTTCGCCCATATTTTTTCATATGCCTTCTATTCATTCTTTACTCCGTTTTATCTGTCTATTTCGGCGCTTTGCAAAAACCTTGGGCTTTAGGTTAACTCGGTGGTATAATATGTTTGGGCCAGTTTCACATTGTTGCGCCACCAATGTGTTTCGAGGTTTACCCTTCATATCTATATTACTGGGCCATTTCTCTTTGGTTGATGCACTTTTTTCTTTATTATTCTTTATCTGAATTATCTTCTCTTTTATGGTGTCGAATATGAGGCCAAATTATATATAGTTTCAAATAATTCAAATTCTTTTGAGCAATCACATTTTCGCTTCATCTATCTCAGGAAAATTTATCACACTACTCTGAGTCTTCCTTTATAATCGTATCCGGTGACTCAAGCCTTCAAGATCATCAAGAAGCATCCGAAATTTTTAACTTTGCCGGCTTTAAGGATACAAAGATTGATAACAATCCTATTATCGATCTTATACTTCAGCATAACCTAAATTGTGTTGCACATAACGATCCAATACGGTCTGGTCATCTTTTTGCAACCTTTCCACACCCATTATTATATAACAAAGATCCCGATAAGTTTGATGCAATTATAAATCGGAATGATCGTCAGTTTGGAAAACTAGCCCATCCATTATCAAGGAAGATGGCAGAATGGTTTTTCGAGATTTATAAACAATCAAATTTTACTTCTCACCATTTCGAAAGGCCAGAATTTCTGACATCTAAGGAGGGGCATTTGGCGGTGCAAATTGCGTCTACCATGTATTTATTTGTTCATATTCTCATATCCTTATTTCAATTAGTTATTATAAAATAATTATCCTATTTGTTTCATAGACAATTATCCGTGAATCATTATCAAAAAACGGGTATAAATTCTCAATCAGTAAATTCTGAAGCTACCTGGGTAAATTTCGTGGAAACCCTGCTAAAAGGTATTATTAATCGCATTAAAAATCTGGTATATGAAAAGTAAGTGATTATATATTTTCAAATGTTCGATCATTTTGTGTAAATGTCCTCCAATCACTTCCCCCAAATATTACACCATTTAAGCACTTTAAGTACAACCGTGGATTATCTTGATTATCAAAAGGAGAATGGAGAAATCTGCAAAATTAAGCCAGATGGGACTATATATTTTGTTACCCCTGAAATGCATTTTCCAATTGGATTCCTTGAAGGTCAGAAGCCGTACCTGCCCAACGCAACAAAGAAATCACAGACCGATGCAGAAAAGCTACAAAGGGAAATTAAATTGGCGCACGATTCTCTTTTGAAAGATATACAAAGCAAATATTCAGCTCGAATTTCGAAAGAAGTGACTAAAAAAATATTTGAAATTCCATTCATCACATCTCAAATAACTGGTGAATATTTTGAAAGTCTGTATTTTATTATTGTTGAACAATTTATCAACTGAATGTTTCTTTGTAGGTTCTGAAGCAATAATCTCAGTCTCAGATCGAACGCTTCATCCAATATTGACAACGTGGGAATTATGCCGGTTCCGTATTGATTTTCACAAGTTAGAAAGGATAAATGATGTTCAGAAATTTTTTTCGGGAATATTCGTATTGCAGGAATTGTTTGAAAAAATAGATACGAGTTGGAATGAACTTTTTATATTTTTGGCTGATGCTCCTCAGCTACTACCAAAAAATCGCTACAATTTGTCAACAGGAATTATCCCATTCTATCATTATGCTCTGGGAGAATATGACTCTCTTGAATATGATTACCAATTATCACAAAACAGATAGTGTTAAAATATCTTGTATTTCAGTACCGAAATAAAGTTCTAGAATTCTTGGACTGGTACTTAGAGATAATGCTGATATGTGACTGACTTTCAAGGAGATAAGTATTTCATTTTAGCAATATAATTAAAGCATAAATGAATTAAAGAGAGATATACGATTTTATCAAGGTGCAATTGAGAGAAAGGAAAGCCCAGAAAATCATATGGGCTAATCGGAGACATTGGGCCCTAGACAGAGGCACTAGATTTATTTTGTACCTGTATTTAATTGTTTTTAATTGGCCTGCTCTATGGTACAATTGCTCAATAAATTTGAGTAAATACCCTAAATAAAACCCTAAATAATTCAAGGATATAATAGATCATGCAAGATAATGCGTCAAACCCATGAGTCCCACCCAAAACCCAAGAGTCTAAATCCTATTGAGTCATGTAATTTGACATATCTAGTATTGTTTGCTTATATACATACCAGACATAACAGATACCGTCTAGTTCCTATATACTATTTAGTAAGACAATATAGCAATACAATGTCAAACAACCTGTTCCATCATTAAACGTTTTTAGGGCATTAAATCTAGACTATATGCATGTCCCGAATTGGCCCATATGTATCAAATTTTTACCGGGTCGGGATAGGTTAATCGGTGAAGAGTTATTATATCGTAGTATACTAAAAAGTGGTTCAAGTATTACAAGGCTCGATAATCTTATAAAAGAAAAAGCCATAATCAATTCATAAAATTTTTGGTCGGGTCTAGTCAAAAAATAAATCACTGATTATGGTGTTTCTAATAAAAATAAAAAGGAATGATTGTTCTAAAATTTTTGTATCATATAATTAATATTTCTATTTAAATTTCAATTATTTTTTACCAATTTACACAATCACGTTAAAATAAAAAATGGCGAGCCCATAGGACCCCCCTTTATTTCGTAAAAATTGTTGCCGGAACAATATAATATACAAATAAAAAAAAAATGTTGCCGGGACAACAATACAAATAAAAAAAAAATTTCTGATCACGGTAGTGGCTCTACGAGTACATGAATAATATTTTGTTCGGGATTCCCAGGAAAATGGTCATAGATCC